GGCGGGTTGTACGACATTCTTGTGCTTTGTTGACGATGTTGACTCCTGTCAAATTATCGATACTTAATTGCTGGAATCTAAAATGTTACTGGGTTCTCCTAAGCGGGAGTTGTTTATTGTTTTGATCGGTAAAACGCAGGGTAAAATAGGCTAGAAATTAATTACTTTGTGGGTAAAAGAAAACTCACGCCGAGGGCGAGGTCCACACTTCCGGGTTCAGCGACGACAAAATGACGCAAAAAACGCTAAAAATCCGCATAGAAGTATATAATTTCCCGACTGATTCTTGAAACTATGCATTTCTTCACTAGAATATCGATGTGTGGTTGTGGAAAATAGCATTTTAGCGCTTATATCGAAGAAAGAAAAGTTGTTTACACGCGCGTCGGCTCGGTCAATCTTCAATACCGCCGGCGCTGCCGGAAGCGGACGCTTCAACTAATCAGAGATGCGAAATGTGGACATAGCCGAGTGAAAATCGTGACGTAAATACAAATCCGTGGATGAGATTCTTTTCTCTCGGTGTGACTCCCATTTCCCACGAGGAAGTTCCAGAAACTTTGGAAAATAGAAACAGATTCGACTCGCGAGCGGGTGCCCGCGCCTTCCTCGGCCAAACTTCAATTTTGGGACATGAAAGGCGCGCCGACGTCCATCACTGGGTAGCGACCGACAGGCCCATAGCAACCATCTCTGTTGGGTGCCGCACCGTCTGAGGGCCGTTCGTGACGTTTGCATCTCATTAACCATATATGGCAGACCAGGGCCGTCGACACACCGCCAGCTTTACGCGTGCTTGACATCAAGCTTTTGGGGGGCGGCAACCTAGGGCGGCGGCCGCCAGGAGCGCGATTTAGTCAGGCTACTAGTTGACCATCTAAAGATATTTGAACTCTATAAAACTTACAAGAACAGATGCAGCTTAGAATTACAAAACAGTCTACTACAGACCTGGACGTGTGATCTCTAAACCAACAGACATGTGGACAATATTTTATCTAGAATCGTACCTGATAATATCTAGTTCATTGCCTGAATGGGTTAGAGTTAGGATCAGTCAATGTTAATGTCCACAGTTCCTAAAGAGGCCAAGATGTCATATGCCGCGGACGGGAGTGTCTCCATCTGGTTGTGGTTCATCCTTAGGGTTGACAAGGTTGGCGTATTCAGTTTTGATAAGGCCTCAATGGGAAAAGTGTTGATCTGGTTGTGAGACAGGTCAATATCGCGCAGTCCTCGCAAATTTGCGAATGTGTCAGCTGCGATGGTGACGATGTTGTTTCTCAGGCGAAGCCACCTTAGGTCATTTTCAAGTCCTACAAAAATGCTAGCCTGGAGACTGGTTAACTGGTTATAGTTAAGGTTCAGTGTGTTCAGCTTTTTCAGATTTTCAAAAGCGCCAGCTGTGATGTTGCTGATGTTGTTGTTCTGCAGTCTAAGATCGCGAAGCTGCGGGGTGGAGTTGAAGGTTCCTGCCTCGATACTGTGGATGTTGTTGTGATACAGATAAAGGATCTCCAGGCTATCAAGTCCCACAAACATGCCAGATCGGAGACTGGTTAACTGGTTATTCTGAAGGTGCAGTGTTCGAAGCTGCGGGGTGGCGTTGAAGGCACCTGCTTCGATATTGTGGATCTTGTTTTGATACAGGTAAACGTACTGCAGATTATCAAGTCCCACAACTATGTAAAACGACGGTCACAACTCGTCGTACGTGCTTCTGCGTGCTGTCTACGTGCAAAAACGTGGGCAAACGTACGGCATCCGTGCGTGGTGAGTACCGCCTCCGTACGGAATCCTACGGATTTGGGAGCACGCAGACACGCCGTAGAACCTTAGGGCCCTGTCACACTTCTGCGAATCGTCTTGCGTATGAGTTGCGTACGAGCAATTTTTTCATACGCAGCCGTACGCAAACTGCGCACTTCATATGCATCTCAGTCGTTTTGTGTGAGTTTTGTGAACGCCGGTATACGCACAGCACACGCACCAGCCGGCTCAGTACGCAGCGTAGTTTTGAGCATGCCCAAAACTACGCTGCGTACGCTGTTACGCAGGTCATGCGTTTTTAATATGCAATGCATAGGTCAAGCACGGCATGAGTTCGCTATGTGGTTGTGGGGGACACGAGGCCCATACGCTGATCTGCACCTGGAACTGCACCTGTGCATAAGCTGCGTACAAAAGACAAATGCATTGCGTACTTACAGCGCTTTAGTACCGTTGGTATTGCAACAGGACAGCGCATTGTACGTATTTGTAACTAATGAGAAGCGCAAAAGTAGCGTACCGATCTAAATAGCGAACTTGCCGAACACCTGGGCTACACCCGGGGTACCGGCTCCTCTAGACCCCATGGTTAACAGATCTTCTGGAGATTGGCTGTTTCTAATATGTTTTGCTGAAAAGTAGATGACCATTGGGAAAACGTCTTTCCTAAAGTGCGATGTTTCACAAAAATGCATTTTGAGACTTTTTAACACAAAAGAACACCCTTGTACCGCCTCCCCAAAAATGATGATAGGACTGGCCATTTTGCATATTATCAATATATCTATATTTAACATAAAATATTTGTTTTTGTTGCCTGTACTTTGGGATGATACGCCAGTTGCCTTTTTTTGTCCGAAAAAAATGTGTAGTGTACGTAGATTGGTACAAAATAGTTTATAAAAATGCAGGAGCATAAAAGCTATGGGCGAATATAAACTCAATGTCATGAAACATCTAAAGATGATGGACTTATAACAGTAGCCACTTTGAACTGTGCTTGTAATATGGTGTCGGTAGATATATAAATATTGTAGTGTTCGCAGTTATTTTTAAATTATTAAGGGAGGGTATTTCTTGACATCTCCAATTCATCAAGGCTATTAACAGTCTAACTGTTATGTTGGTATAAAGTCCGGGTACGTGTATTCAATTTACCTGACAAAATATTACAGGAAAGTGACCAGGGCTGGGGCGAAATGGAAACAAACACATTTCATCTGAGTTGAGGGCGGCCCATGATGACTCGCTGCGAATAAAACAGCAGGAAGCATCAAGGAATACGTACACAAGACGCTTGGCATTCGTCGGAAGTGCGTTAGGCATTCGGTGGGAATACGTTGAGTGCGTTCGGAATACGCCTGGCCTTCGCAATGCATGTGAACGCCATACGGATGTCATATGCAATCTATGCAATGAATTCGTTATTTATTCGCTACATGTGCGTCACAGTACCCTCGCGTATTGTGCGTACAGCAGAAATGTCTGTACGCAACCCATACGCAAGTGCTATTCGCAGAAGTCTGACAGGGCCCATAAGTGCATGTAAAACTTTTTCTACGTGCGGTCTGCGGATTTACCACCCGTGCGTGCGAGTACGTGCGACGCGCGTGCCCCGTACAGCATATGAGCGTGCAACGTACGGACTCCGTGAGTCTAACTTCACTATTCTCACGTGCAATTGCTGTACGGACAGCGCACGAAGCACGTGAGTGCCACGCACGGTGCTTGCGTCATCCGTGCTTACTCCTCACTTCCCAGTTGACCTGCTCAATGACCACGCAGAACACACGTGCACCATACCAGGTGCTCCGCACGTGCAACGCACCTGATTTCTACATTATATAAAGACGACTTGACGGACGACTGCCAACTCGTCTCCAAGATGCCCAGGAAGGCTCAGAAGAAGACTACCAGACAAGATCCAAAGAAACGGGCCGCGGAAGACACCAGGGCGGCTAGTGATGATGAAGTTAACAGGAGCTGCACGCACTTACAACGTGCGAGTGAGTAAGGAAACCGTGCGCACGCCGCACGTGTAGGTACGGCCTGTACGCGGCAACGTGGCAATCGCACAGAGATCGTACGTTGTAAGCACGTGCAACTCACTTACCACTTGCGCAACGTACGATGCACGCAACCGCTGACGGCCAGGCGTGTCGTGCAGACCACGTACGTACACCTTGCGAGTGACGTACTCCCTCGGCCGGCCACCCTACGTTTGCAGAAAAAACGTAGCAGACGTAGCCACGACATAAACGTACGGACAAAAAGCACGCACGGCGAGTTGTGACCGTCGCTAAAGCGACGGTCACAACTCGCCGTACGTGCTTCTGCGTGCTGTCTACGTGCAAAAACGTGGGCAATCGTACGGCATCCGTGCGTGGTGAGTACCACCTCCGTACGGAATCCTACGGATTTGGGAGCACGCAGACACGCCGTAGAACTTTAAGTGCATGTAATACTTTTTCTACGTGCGGTCTGCGGATTTACCACCCGTGCGTGCGAGTACGTGCGACGCGCGTGCCCCGTACAGCCTATGAGCGTGCAACGTACGGACTCCGTGAGTCTAACTTCACTATTCTCACGTGCAATTGCTGTACGGACAGCGCACGAAGCACGTGCGTGCCACGCACGGTGCTTGCGTCATCCGTGCTTACTCCTCACTTCCCAGTTGACCTGCTCAATGACCACGCAGAACACACGTGCACCATACCAGGTGCTCCGCACGTGCAACGGCAACGCACCTGATCTCTACAGTATATAAATACAACTTGACGGGCGACTGCCAACTCGTCTCCAAGATGCCCAGGAAGGCTCAGAAGAAGACTACCAGACAAGACCCAAAGAAACGGGCCGCGGAAGACACCAGGGCGGCTAGTGATGATGAAGTTAACAGGAGGTGCACGCACTTACAACGTGCGAGTGAGTAAGGAAACCGTGCGTACGCCGCACGTGTAGGTACGGCCTGTACGCGACAACGTGGCAATCGCACAGAGATCGTACGTTGTAAGCACGTACAACTCACTTACCACTTGCGCAACGTACGATGCACGCAACCGCTGACGGCCAGGCGTGTCGTGCAGACCACGTACGTACACCTTGCGCAACCGTGCGAGTGACGTACTCCCTCGGTCGGCCACCCTACGTTTGCAGAAAAAACGTAGCAGACGTAGCCACGACAAAAACGTACGGACAAAAAGCACGCACGGCGAGTTGTGACCGAGGCTTTAAGATCGGAGTATGGTTAACTTGTTATTGTAAAGGGACAGCCGTTGAAGCTGCGGGGTGGCACTGAAGGTTCCTGACTCGATACTGTGGATGTTGTTGTACTCCAAATAAAGGTTCTGCAGATTATCAAGTCCTACAAACATCTCAGATCGGAGACTGGTTATCTTGTTATAGACAAGGTTTAGTGTTTGCAGCTGGTACAAATTTACAAAAGCGCCAGCTGCGATGCTGCTGATGTTGTTATTCTGAAGCCCAAGCCCGCGAAGCTGCGGGGTGGCGTTGAAGGTTCCTGCCTCGATACCGTGGATTCTGTTTAGATACAAATAGAGGCTCTGCAAGTTATCAAGTCCCACAAACGTGTCAGGTAGGAGATCGAGTCTCGTTAACTTGTTCTCGGAAAGCTGTAGTATTCGAAGCTGTGGTGTGGAGTTGAAGGCTCCTGCCTCGATACTGTGGATGTTGTTGAAGTACAGATCAAGTCTAATCAGGCTATCAAGTCCCAAAAACATGCCCGATCGGAGACTGGTTAACTGGTTATTGAAAAGGCGCAGGAGATTTAACCTGGTTAGGTTGTAGAACGCCCCGCTGCTGATTGTGGAGATCTGGTTGTAATTAAGATATAATTCTGTCAGACTGCTGTACCTGGAGAAGTCGGACTGGTTAAAGGTTGTGATGGCGTTGTGATATAAGTACAGCACAGTAATGGTTGTCGGCAGGTACTGAGGACCACTGCTGAGGCCTTTGTAGCCGCACTCACAGTATGATGAACAGCTGCTGCTGCAGGCTGCGGTCGGGCCAGCTTCCTTCAGGAGGATCAGCAGAAGAACCAAAAACCAAAAACCTCTTCATCTTGTTAGACATTCGCCTGGACGGCAGAGATTCGAAATATCATTTTTGTGGTTATCCTTTGGTTAACTAATCCCTATTGGTGCTGCTAATCAGTTACGTGTATTGGTTTATTTGTGTTTATCACAACGCACCATCTTTGTGAGGAATCTGGCTGAATGGGCCCAAACGGACCTCACCAGGGTTTTCTTTATTAGTATTGCTATTATCATTATTTATTGTATCCTAATTTTATTGTTTGTATGTGACTGTGAACGTTGTATTGTTTTGTAAAACAGGCCTAGGGCCCCACTGAAAAGCAATGCGATCATTGAATGGGCCACCCTGTATAAAATGATGGAAAAAAAAAAGATTTATACAGATAGCTTTTTGCTAACTCTTTTGGTAATTTGTAAAAAGCTCGCTGACACGCGAAACGTGTTCTTAACATCAGCGACTAGTCGCCGGCGATTTTTGAGGTCGCAGAGCTCGTTTCCAGCTCGCGCGTAGCCCGCAGCTCGTCCCCGTACGGCCGAGAGTCGACCGATTTTCGGGCGTACATCTCACGAGTCTCGGCTGTTCTTTGTCTTCAAAAATCGGTCGATGGTCGCTGAATACGGTCGACCCTCGCGCGAGCTTCGCGAAATATTCGGACGACCCTCTTCCGTACCTCGCCCGACTTGTTTTTAAAATCGTGCGTGCTTCGAGCGAGCTTCGTGCCAGTGTCGGACGACACCGGAAGGTTCTACGAGCCTCGGCCGAGCTCCTGTTAAGTCATTATTTATTCAGCACCTGTGACATTTATCTGAGATTTCATATGCATTGACAGTATACTGTGTAAAGTTTGCAGGAGCAACGCCTCCACTGATTGTTAACGTTATGTTTACGAGAAAGGATAAAAATAAATAAAATCGTCCTTTCTGTACTTTTGTTAAATCAACATTTGTTAATAAACAAAACGCTTTAAAAAATGATAATTTTTAACTATATAAGACCAAATGCCTAGATTTTGAACCCAACTGATTGAACGCACATGAAATCCTTTAATCTATCTTGTTCCTTTAAGTTCAATTTTATTTAAATCAACTGGCATGTACACATATTCACAGAAAATGTGACATGAAATTCGTTGACAATTACAATAAAAGGTGTGTGGCCTTATTTTAGAAGATTGTATCATAAATTGTTCATTCTGGAATGAGGTTGACTTGTTTCTTAGGGCGCCAACAAATTTATCTTGTGATAGAGAGATATTTCTTACTAGTTGAAGTTCATATTGCATGGCTCTTTTTACCTCTGTCTACTTTGATGCCATTGAATGGCTAATAAACTTGTTTACCGGAAGATTCCTAATATTTAGACAGAACTATAGAGGCAAAGTTTTAGAACAATATATCTTATTAACTTTGTTCATGTACACGCACACGTGTATTAAAATATTTTGATATAATGATAATCATTATGTTGTACATTTTGGTTGAATGGTCTAGAGATCGTGCGAGCATCGATAGATCGTCGACCGTAACTCTAGCGACGTACGCCCGTGTGTCGAACGAGCTTCGGCCGACTCTCGTTTGGTTAAAAAGGTGATCTTTATTTTAACCAGACGGTAGTGTACATTTTGGCTCTTGTGGTAGTATTTGAGTTGGATCTTTCACAGAATTCCTGTTTATATTTTTATTTTATTCTGCCAGTCACCTCCATTACTTCGCTGAATAATATTACGACAGGTCAAACATAAAAATTGGCCAAACTATTAATTTTTAGGTGGATACACTGGCCTTGCTTCATCTGCTTGCCATGTCATAGGGACTTCATTATCATAGATGTATTGACAAGCAATCGCCCGAGCCTCGCACAATGTGACAGCGACGATTATTTTCAAGCCCAAAATACGCGCGATCGTCGGTCGATCTCAAAATCGGATAAAACACGGTTCTGGATACAACACAAGGTCAGCGAAAAAGAAAGAAAGAACCACTTACGATAAGACAGTTTCTCCTCCTCCCTGCCACAAACAGTACAAACTTCGTACCGACCGGCTCTCGGTCAGCCTATTATCGGACTGGTCTACATTGCCCTGAAGTAGTTGGTACGCTCTGATTGTACCTGTAATAACTCAAGTCCAACCCGTGTAGGGTATTCTGTGTCCGCAGCCTTGAATACGCAGCTGCAGCACGGATTCATGTGTATCCGCACCCTGCACAACACGAACGCCATCTGGCCGGCCTATTCATTAAAGCTCACGTACACTAGGTTAAATTTGACAGTCACGTACCTGCCTTCATCAAGCTTATCATTAGTTGTTTATAGCACACCATTAACAAATTGAAGTGTTTGCAAGCCTCCATGTGCGAACCCGGGGGAGCCACTAATAGAAAAACTGGCACATATATACAACATGTACAAGTACATGTACTCATTTTACACCATACCGCCACCCGCATGCCCAAGTGGCCCGGACGTGTCGGAAAAACAATCAGAACGTCACAGTGACTGCAAACTCGGATTTATTTAGAAATACCAAGCAAACATAACAAACAATTTAGTTCGCGCAATGTCCATTTCTACAGCTTCTAATTATTTCTGCAGCATCCTTCGTGAAACAATTAAAATAAGATTTTACCACGCAGTGCGAACAAACGACACAAGTGGAAAAGCGTCATTGTAATGTTATATATTATGATAGTCTCACAGCAAACGTCACAGCAATACAAAACTTTTAACACTTAGTAACTGAACACGTACGCAGTCACATTAGTGACACATACGTGAGGAATCAACCCTATTATTCAGTATCTAAAACATAAGTTTTAACTTTCTACCAATCCACAGGAATAGTCATTCTATCTAGTGAATTATCTCAAGATATGATGAACTTTATAAAACTTTGATTACAAGTTGTTTCTAGAATGTGACCGGACCAAAAGTCATGTTGAATGAACAAATATACATGTAATATATATCCATGCAGCAATGTTAACAAGCTTCGCAATTCAGCCAGAAGGGCGTCAGACAAATTGTTTGTTTTGCTGTGGTTTATACAATGGGTCAAACTTTTATTTTGTAATTTATGCTCTAACGAGTGCGTAAACTTCTTCCCGCATCTGAAGACAGTTTAAGTGTAACAGCAGAATCTGATGCAGCTTAGAATTACAAATTAAACCAGTCTACTACAGATCAGTTCCTGGGCCTGTGACAAGGTTTTTGTCAGGACTTGTGATCATAATCTTGCCAGACCTTCGCGCTGCCCGGTTGGACAGTACGTATCCAGAACCTGCCTGTCTAGTTCCATGCCTCAACGGGTTAGGATCAGGCACTGAGTTCTGGATAGTCTTCGCATATTCAGGAAGATATATTTGCCCCAGGCACGGTTCTGGATACGTGTGAACTATCCAGAGACGTGCATGAGCATGGTTCTGGATGAAGAACGGTTCTGGATAGTCTCCGCGTATCCAAGAGCGTAGATTTAGCCAAAGTACGGTTCTGGATACGCGTGGACCATCCAGAACCGTGCCTGAGCAGGATTCTGGATACTGAAAGCACGGTTCTGGATACAACATGCCGGTTTGCGGATGACCAGGATGTCCCTAATGACCTGTGATTGGAGGAAGGGGAGGGCGCACAAGCCTGTAACCACGGTCAAGGTCGTACGGAACAGGGTCAAGGGCACGCTCTACGGCTATTGGATTTAGGTCACCATGATGGCCTGCCTGGTCACGGTACTTGTCTGTAACGTGTGTGTCCGGGCTGGGGTTAGGGGCAGGGGCGGGGCTACTTCTGCGTCGCTTGATTCTGCACCAGATCACAAGGCAAATGGCCGAGGTGAGAATAGATCCAAGAACTCCGCCAGGAAAACCGCTGAGGAAGGCGGGGAGGGAGAAAGAAGCGGAAGGAAGACTGTCGGCCGATGAACCACCGGGAATTTGGTCTGAGAACCCCCCGGAAAGGGTACTGTGGGTTGTGAACCCCCCTGGAGGGGTACTGTGGGTTGTGAACCCCTCGGGAGGGGTACTGTGGTCTGAGGACCCCCCAGGAGGGGAACTGTGAACTGAGGAACCCCCGGAAGGGGTATTGTGGGTTGTGAACCCCCCTGGAGGGGTACTGTGGGTTGTGAACCCCCTGGGAGGGGTACTGTGGTCTGAGGACCCCCCGGGAGGGGTACTTTGGGCCTCGGACCCTCCTGGAGGGGTACTGTGGACTGAGGACTCCTCGGGAGGGGTACTTTGGGCTGAGGACCCTCCTGGAGGGGTGCTGTGGGCTGAAGACCCCCTTGGAGGGGTGCTGTCAGTAGTGCCTTCACAGATCAGATCCTGAGGACTGACGTCCCGTAGTAAACTTTTCCCTGTAAGGTTTTCAGGTTCGGCACAGGTGATCTGGTTCTCAAAGGAATAAGGCCCGTTCAACTTTAGCTTAAAGGGAAGCATCCTGCAGTCACACTGCCAGGGGTTGTTGCTGAGGTCAACTGTTGAGATGGAAGCCAGGACGTCATATGCCGCGAACGGGAGTGTCTCCATCTGGTTGTGGTTCACCTTTAAGGTTGACAAGATTGACGTATTTAGATTCGATAAGGCCTCAATGGGGAAAGTGCTGATGTTGTTGTGAGACAGGTCAATCTCATGCAACACACGTAAATTTGCGAATGTGCCAGCTGCGATGGTGCTGATGTTGTTGTTTTGAAGTTGAAGCTCCATTAGCTGCGGAGTGGAATTGAAGGCTCCTACCTTGATACTGTGGATGTTGTTCTGATCCAGATAAAGGCCCTGCAGATTATCAAGTCCCACAAACATGTCAGACCGGAGACTGGTTATCTGGTTTTTGTAAAGGTACAGCCATCGCAGCCGGGACAGATTTACAAATGTGCCAGCTGCGATGGTGCTGATGTTGTTGTTCTGAAGTTGAAGATGGCGGAGTTGCGGAGTGGAATTGAAGGCTCCCGCCTCGATGGCGTGGATGTTGTTGTTATATAGGATAAGGCCCTGCAGATTATCGAGTCCCACAAACATGTCAGATCGGAGACTAGTTAACTCGTTACCGAGAAGGGTCAGTGTATGAACCTGCGGGGTGGCATTGAAGGTTCCCGCCTGGATACTGTGGATGTTGTTGCCATACAGATAAAAGTACTGCACATTATCCAGCCCCACAAACATGTCAGACCGGAGACTGCTTAACTGGTTGTAGTGAAGGAACAGTTGAGTTACCCTGGTTAAGTTGTAGAACGCTCCGCTGTTGATTACGGAAATCTGGTTGAAATGAACTTGTAATGTTCTCAGACTGCTGTACCTGGAGAAGTCGGACCGGTTTAATGTTCTGATGGCGTTGTTAAACAGGTCCAAGCTAGTGATGGTTGTCGGCAGGTCCTGGGGAACACTGGTGAGGCCTCGTCTGCCGCAGTAACATACTGATGAACAGCTGCTGCTGCAGGCTGCGGTCGGGCCAGCTTCCTTCAGGACGATCAGCAGCAGAACCAACATAATTTTCATCTTGTCTGCCATTTCGCCTGGACGTCAGAGATTCGACATATCCTAATTGTAATCTTCATTTTACCTACGCACATTTTGGTTTCTATCTTTTCTACAAAACCGCCATTTGCTTACTGTGACAATGCTGATAGCAGATCTATGTTATTGAACTAAAATGTTAAGAAATGATGAATATGAGAGTTAATGCACAAGAGACTTATTATCTGACCACCCAAGTACACATATACTTGTCTCTTTTTTAACTTGCGTTAAAATACCTTTAATTAGCTCTTTCAGTGATTGTTCTAACGATATTGTTTCATTAATCTAAGAGGAATTTATAGTTAACATCTTAATTGATCAAAATACTTAGTTCTCCTTACCATAATTTATGCAAATTTGAGGAAACCACAATTTGAATTAAAATACCCTTCTTCAAAATTTTTTTTACCTTTCTATAACATAAGAAGTAACATAAGAACTATGATCAAACTGTTAGCATTATATATATATATATATATACGTTATCAAATATCAAAATATATGTAAAACAATAAGGAATGAAAGTACACATTAGAACCACGCCTATCTAGTTCTAATTCCAAATGGATTGGGCTAAGGATCAAGCTTTGGCTAGTCTCCGTGTATTCAATTACAAGAACGTAGATTTGCACAGCTATAGGCACGGTTCTGGATACCCGTGGACTATCCAGAACCGTGCCTGAGCATGATTCTGGATAAAGCACGGTTTTGGATACAACACACGGTCAGCGAAAAAGAAAGAAAGAATCACTTACGATAAGACAGTTTCTCCTCCTTCTTGCTGCCACAAACTCCGTACCGACCGGCTCTAAGTCAGCCTATTATAGGACTGGTCTACATTGTCCTGAAGTATTCGGCGCGCCTTGATTTTATCTGCAATAACTCAAGTCCAACCCGTGTGGGGTGAGGCGCCTTACAGCAAACCATGTAAGTGCGTAGCTGCAGCACGGATTCATGTTTATTCACAACCTGGACATCGTCTTTTCGGCCTTTTCATTAAAGTTCATGTACACTAGGTTAAATTTTGACAATCACGTACCTGCCTTTATCGAACTTATTATTAGTTGTTTATAGCACAGGTGTTTCGCCATAACCAAATTGAAGTGTTTGCAAACCATCAGTGACGCATGCACGCGGGGGAGCCACCAATAGAAAAACTGGTATAAACAACATGTACATGTAGTCATTTTCCCCTACACTATACCCAAGTGTCAGTAAAACAATCAGAACGTCACAGTGAATGTAAACTCGGATTTATTTGGAAATATCAACCAAACACAACAATTGAATAATTAAAACACCAACAAGACACACAATTCCTGCTTATTTCTCGCAATGTAATTATTTCTGCAGCTTCCTTCGTGAAACAATTAAAACTAGAAAGGCCGACATTTGCTTGGGAGCAAATACAGCATATTTCAGTCCATCTCTCCCTCCCACGCAAAAGTGGACTATTCCAAACTTACCCCAGTGCAAAACTAGCAAAGGTTCTCAAATAAATAAATTAAATAGTAGCTATGTAAATGAGAACAAAGATGCAAGAACAAGCACTTTGAATCTCGAAAGCTTTACTAATCATATTACAGGTATGCAAATACTAACAATGATGAGATTTGATACATTTTGAAGGTCTTAGGCACATAAAATTGAATGTGTGGGTCATTATGCACGACTTACGTGCAATAATGTGACCTCGGGTAACCCGCAATGGAACACGTGTTCCATGGCCAACGGCAGATGGAACAGGCCATTCTTTAGATAGAACGTGGAACGGGTACAGCACTTTTGGCCCTTTTTTTGGCCTGAAAAAGCTATTGAAGTCCCCTAAATGAGTCATTTTCAAGTGGTGTATTCCAAATATGTGACTGCTATTCTGTAGACACACGTTCAAGGTACCCTTATACCGAATTCCGATGATTTGGTTGTAATACCAGGGCTCAGGATCCAAAAATTCATTTTTTGTCGAAAAATGCCCCAAAAAACCTTCATAAAAAATTTTTCAAAGGCATGTATCAAAAAATGAAAAAAAACGCCTGGGGGTATTGGCCCACTCTACCTCCATGCCAAATTTGAAGTCATTTGTCTGAATGATGGCGGAGTTGAATCCCTTTGACTGTTTGGCAGGAGAAGGAGGAGAAACATGAGAGAACACAATCTATTTCATCCATACCATATATGGTATGGACTGAAATATAATAAAATTTACCACACAGCGCAAACAACACAAGTGGACACACGTCATTATGATGTTATATATTATAGTCTCACAGCAAATATCACAGCAATACAAAACTTTTAGTAGTTAGTAACTGAACTTAGTCACATCAGTGACACATTAGTGACACGTTAGTGACACGTTAGTGACACGTTAGCGTCACGTTAGTGACACGTTAGTGACACAGTAGTGATAGTAGTGACATGTCAGTGACACGTTAGTTAAGAATCAATTCTATATGACTATAATGACTATATGACTAAAATGACTATACAATTTTACAAATGTTACAGTTTCACAGCAAACATCACAGCAATACAAAACTTTTAGTAGTTAGTAACTGAACATTTTAAGTACTGTAGGCCGTTCCTAGGCCGTTCCTAGGCCGTTCCTAGGCCGTTCCTTGGCCGTTCCTAGGCCGTTCCTAGGTCGTTCCTAGGCCGTTCCTAGGCCATTCCTTGGCCGCTCCTAGGCCGTTCCTAGGCCGCTCCTAGGCCGCTCCTAGGCCGTTCCTAGGCCGTTCCTAGGCCGTTCCTAGGCCGTTCCTAGGTCGTTCCTAGGTCGTTCCAAGGCCGTTCCAAGGCCGTTCCAAGGCCGTTCCTTGGCCGTTCCTAGGCCGCTCCTAGGCCGCTCCTAGGCCGCTCCTAGGCCGCTCCTTGGCCGTTCCTTGGCCGTTCCTAGGCCGTTCCTTGGCCATTCCTGCTGACACCGGGGAGCGAGCTTGCCTCTACCAGGCTTGAGGGCGCGGCTGGAAATAGTAGAAATTGGCCAAATAGAGAGATAACACGCCGAGGGAGTTTAGCCATCCAGTTTACAGTTTGCCGTTTACGTTTACAGTTTGCCGGCAAACTGTAAACTGGATGGCTAAACTCCTTCGGTGTGTTATCTCTCTATTTGGCCAATTTCTACTATTTCCAGCCGCGCCCTCAAGCCTGGTAGAGGCTAGGAGCGAGCGACAACACGCGCTGTCTACACGACAGGTCTGCAGTAGACAAGCTGACTCCATTGCCTATCCAACAAGATTATTACTCCGTGAAGGAGGTCAGGACCTCCGGACGGAGTGTTGTGAAGAGTCGTTTTTTCGTGTTCGCAGTCAAAACACTGGGTTCTCTTTGTGTAATCGGCATGCAATTTTATACGCCATCTGCGGGCATGCCCGTGTTGATGCACGAATGTGTATTTTTGCCGTTGCTGCTTTCGCGGTCAATGTAATATTGCAGATGCACCCCTATAGTTATGAGGCAAATTGGTCCAGAAACACCCGTTGTTTGGAATAGCAGTGGGGGGTTGGAACTTCAGGCAGATGGTGAGGGGCCGATAAGTGGTACCACGGCAGTAACACTCGCGGTGCTGGCCGCAACTGTTGCTGGAATTTGCCAGTCGCGCTTAATAAGTAACAGGCACGGTAAGACGGTGGGGCTGTCTTTGTTACTAGTGACACGACCATGATAGTCCAATCTTTATGTGAATGCAATGATTGTGTGTGTGTAATTAAAATGAACTTCGAACTTGAAGCACAGTATCTTTACACGCCCTGAGAGTAGTAATGGATTTAGGTCTTTTTATGTTTTATGGTTGTGACGCGCCCTCATTGTATTAACCGTTGCCTTATGTCTGCACAGTAGGTCTGGCGTTGACGCTTGGGATTATTTTTGTTGCAAAATATGACACTTCACGGAGGATTGTCACCTATGGCTTCTTGTTATTATTTTAAACCACTAACAAATATATATATATTAAACAGGAAAAATCCTCAAAATGGTAGTACATGACATTTTTGTAAGTTATATGATGCATGTAGTATTACAGGCTCAAATGGTGTAAGGACAGTTTGTTCATGTATCAAGAACAAGAAATTAAGTCACAAAAATAAAATTGTGGATAACTCTTTTTTTTTTATTTTAACAGTTCCAAGTGAGCTGCCTGATGTTCCACCAGCTACAGAGAAAAGCAGCTATGGTTAGTAGATGAAGTTGGATCCCAAATATTAAATAATATATTCTTAGAAGAATCTTTTTCCTCTTCCAAAACTAAAACAACTTATTGTATGTGTTTAAAGTTAAAACTTTTGGGCCAACACAAAAAATTCCCTCACCTAGAGCTTTCGACCGTCATCGTTTACCAGATACCTTTGACCCAGTGTTGACATCACACTTCAAAGAAGCCACGTGACAAGCTTCACTGGGTCAGTCTACTAAGGAAGACCAGAGTGACTGGTCGAAAGCTCTAGGTGAGAGAATTTTTTGTGTTGGACCAAAAGTTTTAACTTTAAACATGTAACTACCAACACAGATGAACTTTCATGACAACTTATTGTATGATTTGTAAATTATTCATTCACCTCTGAGTCTGCTTTGTTTTGATAACATGATTTCAGGTCCATATCCTGTTCAAAAATATATCACATTTGAAGATGCCTTAAAGGTGCTGGGGGAGGTAAGTGTATTGAATTGTCATGATCTAGTTTGGTTTGGTTTGTTACAATCACTTATAGTCTTCCTGGAGTCCACTCAAATATTACATAATACAACAATGGAGTTATAGAATTAAAATAATTCTTACCTAAACAGTTACTGAACTCTCTTGTGATTACAATCATGCATGTGATTTTTCTTCTTGCATAGCTCATACAAGCTTGTTCTATGATTTGCTCTAACCACTTTTTGCACTAGGTACTGACTTTGAATATATTCTTTTAACAAAAAATATAGCTGAATTGACCATATCATGTTCATGGTATCATGTCGTGTGGCATAACAGCAGAGTGCTCCACTCAGAACCAAAAGGTCCTGGATTTTAGTCCTGGCATGCCACTGATCTTGTGCCCTTGGGAAAGGCAATTAGTCAACTTTCTTTACTAATATTATAACTCAAGTGAAACTGAGTAATAGTATATTAGTCTGTGTTCTGTATCTGTTCTTATGTGTGGGACACAACACAAGCAACGGCTGCCTTTGTCCCACATGTATTTGTTCTGTAGCCAAGCAGGAGTGAGACAGTGATGATCAAATCAAATCCACTCATGTACATGATTTAATTTTTTCCATAGCCAATCAGGAGTGAGAAGGTTGCTCGGTCCTCTCATATTCCTCGCCATTATCAACAGTGCGTGCCAAGATGCCATCGCGTCGCGGTGGAAGTTTGTTGATGACATGAACTTGGCGGAGAGCCGAATGATAGGCGCGGCCTCTACCTTACAAGCCGACCTAGACCAACTGACTGGATGGACAAACAACCGACAAATGAAATTACATCCTAAGAAGTGTAAAGTTATGCATGTGTCTTTCTCCAAAGTCCATGTCCCACGTCCCCAGTTCTCAATAGCCGGCGAACCACTGGAGGAGGTAAAAGCAGTAAAACTACTCGGTGTGCACTTCCAGGAGGACCTAGGGTGGGAACTACAGGTCAACCATGTGGTAAAGCAGGGCAACCAGAAACTGTACTTACTCAAACGACTACGGTGTTTCGACCTCTCCCGAGAAGACTTACTTTTGTGCTACAAGACCCTTGTACGCCCAACATGTGAGTACGCCGCCCCCGCGTGGCATGCCGGACTAACTACAGCACAACGTGCCAGGATCGAAACCCTCCAGAGAAGAGCCTGTCGCATAATTCTTGGACCGGCCTACACATCCTACAAGGAGGCGTGCAGCATCTGAGACCTGCCTACCCTAGACGACCGGCGACGGGACTTGTGCCGTAACTTTGCAAAGAGACTGGTGGAGTCGGAGTCATTCAGAAAATGGCTCCCTCCTACGCGAGGAGACATCAGCTCAAGAGACACTAGAAACAACCACCGCCTGACTGGGATAAGAACTAAGACAAAAAGATACCAAAACAGTCCAATTCCTTTCATGACTCGCCTCCTGAATGAAACAGATCTGTGATCGAATATTGTTCTAATGCCCGACGTAAATGACATTTACCCATACCCATTGTTATCTGTAGAACGTTATATTTACCTTGTTGTACCTTTAAATATACGTGTGTGTCGTTAAGTACTCCGACGTATCCGTCATACAACCTACCTGTTTTAAGGTAGTGTTTCTTATGGTTTAGAATTGTTAATTCAGAAAGATGAGTTTTTGCCAGTATTTAGAGTCTACTTTTAACTGTTTTTAAATGTAAAAAGTACGCAATTCAGCCCATGGCTGCGATGTACTTTATCTGATCAAAATGATCGAATAAACCATTCATTCATTCAAGGTGATGTCCATGGAGATGCTCCCCATCAACAATGACAACGGGCAGTCATACGGCTACATCCTGTACAGGCACAAACTTATCCATACACCGGCCACAGAGTCTCTCACTCTCAAGTGTGATGTCAGGGACAGAGCTCAGGTCAGTTTACAGCTTTAAGCTTTTTGATAAACCAGGAAATATGATAATACAGAAAAGGCTGGAAAGAAAATTTGTAACTGGTCAATGTCAACTTCCTATAGCAAGCCAGCAAATGGCTGTACATGTTGTGCATACGTTGACTGGGTTTTTCTCCTGAAGTTTAAGCTTTCAAGCCCTGCAAAGACCCCCTAAACTTTTCACATTATGAGGATGCATACAAAATAGTTCTTCCAGTTATAATTGTAACATGTCCTACTTGGCTAAGAATATCTTTAGATTGTACAAAATCGCTATACATTTTGCACACAGCAAAGTTAAAGCTAAGAAAAAAAGGTTTGAAATTGGCTATATAGCTAGTATGGGCGCGTGTCTAGAAAAACCATCATGTACAATGTAAAATTCTGTTTTCACGCGGCTCTGGAACAGTCTCCCAAGGGACGTGAGGGAAGCTGCGACCTACAACCAGTTCAGACTGAAGTGTAAAGCGCAGATGCTGACCACCCGCCGTCACCAGAAGTTCCGCAGACTCGGTGACCGTCGCAGTAACATCCTTTCTGCAAGACTGCGTCTTGACTGGTCTCAGCTCAACTCTACACTCGCCAAGTTCAACTTGACCCCACGCAGCTGTAGCTGTGGTGCTAAGTCTGAGTCAGTCGCACACTACCTCCTCCACTGCCCTCTGCACAAGGACGCAAGGCAAACACTTGCCACCGCTGTACGTAGCGTTGTGGATCAATCCCTCTCCACCAACATGCTCCTCAATGGTCTTCCAGGTCACAACCTCTCTACAAACCAAAACATTTCGGCCGCTCTTCAGGTCTACATCCTGCAAACAAAACGTTTCTAAAGTGTCCTTCCACCTGTTCATTTGGTCTAGTGCACTTGTCTATTATTTCCACTGTACGGATTCTCGACCTCTGACCTCCAACTAAGTTTACCCATTTTAATTAGTATTGTAAATATAATAACATATATGTTAATCAACAATGTATGTATAGTCATGTAGTCATGTCTGTCTGTGGCCCCCGCCATCAGCTCTGCTGCCAGGGTGGCCACTGTATTGTGAATGTCGCAATTTTCGAAAATAAAAAATAAATAAAAATTCTGTTTTAAAAATCAAATAGTTTTTCGTCTTTCTGCTCCTGCAGATATTTGTGAATGGTAAGGAGTCAGGCATGCTGAACTGGAGAGTTGGAGAGATCAGTCTGTCAGGGCTGAAGGTAAAGTTTTTAGTTTCAGTTTATTCATTTCACCAGCATACATGTACTCATAACAACCTATTTTTCAGGCAATGCCGGGTATACAAAGGACTATTGACAACTATACAATATTACGATATCACATACAATACAGAATGATGTAACAAAAAACTAATACAAAACAATATAAGTTAAATCTAATCTCTTTCATTTTTGTAGTTGCCATGAAAATATGTTTTTGTGGTATATACATGGATAGTTTGCATTTTATTATTAAGCAATTCTGTAGCAGAAAAACGCATATTCATGGTGTTATATATTTGCGGTAGGAAGGTCAATACTAAAAGAAAGGCCGTTCAAGCATTTCTAGATTGACTGACTCTGTTTTTTTTGTGTGTTAAATGGATCTAGTCTCTACTTCATAATATTCTCTGTCACCAGAATAGTTTTATCAGGTAAGTCACTGAGTAAAGAGACTCTTTCTACACAACCAAGTCTTTTATTCGGCCGACATTTTCGTGACCGCCTGTCACCCTGCGATCATGAACCAGTCAGAATTGCCCTGAGGAAGGTGACAGATGGTCACTGAAAGTTTGGCTGAATACAAGACTTGGTTGACATTGTGTAGAAAGAGTCTCTTGTCTCTAAACAGGATTCTGATATTTCAGGAGAACGACATTCTGGATATCCTAGTAGAGAACCAGGACAGGGTGAACTTTGCCCAGACTATGGACGGAGTGAAGAAGTTTGTGTTGGAGAGTGTGACTGGAGTCAACAGGGGGGATGCACTGTTGGACCAAAGGAAAGGTACAAATTCTGTGTATTACCTCCAAGGATTTCGATGGGTGTGTGTTTTGTAAGTACGTAAGTATAATAATGATACAATGACATAAAGTTGAAAAGGATCATAAATGTCACATTTGAGAAAACTAGGTCTTAAACAAAGATTTCATTTTTTTTCTTTTTACCTGTACGTACATGCACAAGTACTTGGTTACATGTACAAAAATGTATGTTACACATCAAATAATCAATATAAAATATAGTAAGTATTTTTGGTCAAAACAAACTATATTATATATTTCACAACATTTTATTTATATCTATAATAAGCATTTTGTAGTATAATTCCATTTTGATACTAAATTGAATAATTCAATTATATTCTTTGTCAACATTAATATATTCCAGGACTTGTGGGAGAAGTACTTCTGAACACCACCCCACTAGAGACCTGGGAAATCTTCCCTCTGGAGCTCAAGCCAGAATTCCAAACAAGGTACAAAATGTAGGCCTGCACATGTACCAGATAGGCCTGTTCAATAAAAATATTCTTCAAACCAATGACCAGCTTTGCTTGCACATCCACAAACTGCTGGAACATTAGAACATTATTGCTTGTGTCAGAACATAGGGGTTTTCCCATTAAATCAACATATAGAATTTTTAAATTAAAATTAAAATGGTATCCAATGCAATTTAATGGCGGCAAAACAAAACAAAACAAAACAAAATATATTCTGGATGAGGAAATCTGATATCTTTGCAGCAAAAATGTGCTGAGCCTGACGGTAATATTTTGTATCATAGTATGATTCTAGCTATTAACTTAATAAAACGCCTGATGTAGCTTGTCTCTGCACTATTCCAATCACTCCAACTATTAAAAAATGTGCTAAAACATATACATACACAGTCACCATTATATTTGTGAGGACACAACAGTGAAGAATCAACACTATTATTCAGTTACTAAATCATCACTTATAAACAGAAAAGCAAAGTTTGAATTTTCCAGGAATAGTCATTCTATCTAGTTAAGTGTGTCAAGATATTTTAACTCTATAAAACTTTAGTTAAGTACACGTTAACGTTGTTTCTAGCACGTGACTGGAATAAAAGTCACGTTGAATGAACAGATATACATGTCAAGTATATCCACGCAGCAATGTTTAGAAGCCTCACAATTCAGCCGCCATGGCTGCCAGAAGGCCTGTTACAGTGTTTTGTTCGCTGCCGGTTAATACAATGGGTGAAAGACAGTTATTGTTCATTTATGATCTAACAAGCCAGGTATAAGTCATGCTGATAAATTTCTATGTACAATATAACAGTCACTTTAATACAAGTCTGGTATATTACTACATATTATTTCAGGATATGTTACAATTACATATTATTGGTATTACATTATATGTTTTTTGGTGTTATTGGTATATGACAGGATACTATTACATGTGTGTACATGTACAATTGACAATTTCCTGGTTTCTAAGACAGCGACTCACTTCGCTCAGGTGTAAATGAGTATTGTACTGTCCTTTTGTTGGTGTCGGAATTAATATAAGTTGAAAAAATTTGAGTGTGTCGTCACCACGTCTTGTGATTACATGTTTCGGAATAAAAAAAAGGATTTAGCTTTACCTTACTCTCCAAGCAGAGGTTGATGGGGGAACGTTCACGTTAGGGCCCAGGGTGCCAGGCTGTGACGCGCGTGTCCGGGCTGGGGTGGGGGGCAGGAGCGAGGCTGGTTTTGCGCGTCCTTCGCCAGATCGCCAGAAAACGCCCGAGAATGATCCCGGCTACGACGCCAAGGAAACACGGCGGTCAATTTCTAGGGTAAAGTTTCCAATTCTACGGAAGGGTATCAGGTTACCGGGGTTCCTCGCGCGGCTTCTGTGGAGCCAGTCTCAACGGTTAACATTTTGTTAAGTAATAATTAACTGTTTCACGGGGACTCCCTTGTCCAAATGTGATAAAATCAGCACTGCATATAGCTCAAATGTTGTTGTTTTTATTACAATGCTTAAATGTGTGTGAAATCACTCTCAACGCGTAGAATGCTTATTTTAGAACAATCGACGTCAATAACCAAACAACTGATTTAAACCGACCCCAAATCTCTCGGAAAATTCCACATTTTTGCATTTTAGAGAACAGTATAACAAAATTAAGATTTGAGTCGGACAGTTTTCTTTATTTCAAAGTTAAAGTGTTGCTAAGGTCGAAAATTCGCCAAAAAATGCACTTTTTCAACTTCCAAGACGGATAATTCCAGAACGCCGCCATCTTTAAAAAATCTGTCCGACACAGATCGAGATTTTTGTCTTACCTACAATTTAAAACGTGTGAGGTAAATTGAATTTGTTTTTCTTGCAGTTTAAATACCATGTTTGCACGCATGTCAGGCCGTGTGAGTAAGTGCAGGGGGTAACTTACATCCCCGTGAACAACAATTACGATCTTCAAGGTCACACACCATGACGGCAGTAGCTTCGTTACATGTTACATATCCACTATAAAATTGGGCATAGATATACTGTCCCGAAATCGGTTTATATTTGTGAAAATGTCGAATTTGTACTGTTAGGCGGTATCCGTGTAAAAACGGGCTTGAAGCCGCGGGTTTACTGTACATGACCGCGGGTAACCCCGTATCGAACGAACGTTCGGTTCGATTGACGTCATATCGAATATGATTCGATTCGAATGACGTCATATCGAACATGATTCTGTTCGATATAAACGTTGGAATATTTGGGCCCAAATTTGACCATCGTGAAACCGCTGAGGAAGGATGCCAAAGAGAATCCACCGAAAGGTGTACTGTCCGCTCATGGTCCACCGGCCGGAGGGGTGCTGTGGACTGAGAACCCCCCGGGAGAGGTGCGTTGGGCTGTGTTTGCTTCTACATAGTTCAGATCTTCTAACAATAAGCTTCTGCCTTCCAGGTTAGCAGGTCCAGCACAGGTGATCTGTCTTTCAAAATCTCGCAAACCCGTCATCCTTTGCTTAAAGGGAAACATCCTGCAGTCACATTGCCAGGGGTTGTTGTCGATGTTCACAGATCTTAAAGAGGCCAGGATGTCATATGCCGCAGACGGGAGTGTCTCCATCTGGTTGTGGTTCATCAGAAGGGTTGGCCATGCTGAAGTATTTAGATTCGATAAAGCCTCAGCTGGGAAACTGTGAATGTAGTTATCAGCTAGGTCAATGTCACCGAGCGGCAAATTTGCGAAATCGCCAGCTGCGATGGTGCTGATGCTTTTGTTATAAAGCCGAAGCGTGCGGAGATGCGGAGTGACATCAAAGGCTCCAGTGTAAAGCCTCGACATTGTTTATGTTGTTGTAGGACAGATAAAGGTGCTGAAGGTGTTCAAGCCCCATAAACATGTCCGATCGCAGACTGGTTAACTTGTTATACTGAAGGTGCAGTGTTTGAAGCTGCGGGGCGGCATTGAATGTTCTTGCCTCGATACTGATACTGTGGATGCTGTTGTAATCCAAAGAAAGCTCCTGAAGATTATCCAGTCCCACAAACATGTCTGCTCAAAAATATTGTCTGGGAAAATGCCTACAAAACCTCTCTGCATCCTATATCAATTCTACAAAAAAATTTCTACGCATTGCCACTGGTTCAAGTTTTTACACCCACTCTTCACCTCTATTAAAAAAACTTAGACTTTTAAACATTTATGACATAAATAGATTTCAACATGTACTTTTCGTAGCCCAATATATAAATCAGAAACACCCGGATACATTTGGTGATTTTTTTACTTTTCGTTCTCAGATTCACAACTATCAAACTCGCAAACGTTCCGATTTTCATATCCCCCTAGTAAAAACTTCTCTTGCCCAAATGTCGGTTAGATACAAAGGTGTCACATTATGGAATGAACTAACTCCAGCCCTAAAGAATCCTACCTTATCTCTTCTCTCACTCAAACAAGCTTTGAAAAACCAGCTGACAAACGAACCTAGCCCCTGTAGTAGTTTTATTTATTGTTTTTCTCTTATTTTAACTCATACCAATTATTATCATTATCATTTTTGCTCTGTGTTAATACCTTACATTACCTTATTTCATTGTCATTAATTTATACCGTACATTATTTGATTATCCTTATTGTATTGTTGCCATTTTCTATTGTATTATTTCCGTGTATTGATTATATGTAATTTTGTATAGTTCAGAGGAGGAGGGCCTTGTATAAGCATTC